TAATCAGCGGGCTCCCGGGAAAATGTTTCCTCCCCTTTTCAGGCAAGTAAATGGTGAGCTCTGTGGGAACTTGCACAGGGAGGGGGATGGGGGGACTTACCTAAAACATAACTGCAACTACAGAGACAAGAGAAGCTACATGTGCTTTCCTAAAGACATGGCCACAGCTGCACAGTTAATGGTAGTTACTCAGATAGGAGAAGTTACACAAATAGCTACAGAGATGAGGGAAGTTAGTTTCTTTCTTTCTTTCTTTCTTTCTTTCTTTCTTTCTTTTTCTTTTCTTTTCTTTTCTTTTCTTTTCTTTTCTTTCTTTCTTTCTTTCTTTCTTTCTTTCTTTCTTTCTTTCTCTCTTTCTTTCTCTTTCTTTCTTTCTCCTTCCTTCCTTCCTTCTTTCCTTCGTTCCTTCCTTCCTTTTTTTTTTGAGACAGAGTCTCACTCTGTCGCCCAGGCTGGAGTGCAGTGGCGTGATCTCGGCTTACTGCAACCCTCCATCTCCTGGGTTCAAGTGATTCTCCCGTCTCAGTCACCTGAGTAGCTGGGATTACAGGCATGTGCCACCATGCCCGGTCAATGTTTGTATTCTTAGTAGAGATGGGGTTTCACCATGTTGGTCAGGCTGGTCTCGAACTCCTGACCTCGTGATCTGCCCACCTCGGCCTCCCAAAGTCTTGGGATTACAGGTGTGAGCCACCACGCCGAGCCAGACACTCCATTGTTTTTTGAGCCACTAATAAAGGAAAAGAAAAAACGTTTTCATTGAGACATAATGTCCAGTAAAAAATACATGTCTTTTTTTTTTTTTTTTTTTTTTTTTGAGATGGAGTCTCACTCTGTCACCCAGGCTGGAGTGCAGAGGCACAATCTTGGCTGACTGCAACCTCCTCCTCCTGGGTTCAAGTGATTCTCCTGCCTCAGCCTCCTGAGAGGCTGGGACTACAGGCACATACCACCACATCTGGCAAATTTTTCTCTTTTTAGTGGAGACGAGGTTTCACCATGTTGGCCAGGCTGGTCTCGAACTCCTGACCTCAGGTGATCTGCCCACTTTGGCCTCCCAAAGTGCTGGGATTACAGGTGTGAGCCACTGCACTTGGCAAAATGCACAAGTCTTAAATGTGCAGTTCAATGAAATTTTACACATGTATATACCTGTGTGACCACCACTCAGATCAAGATACAAAACCTTTCCAACACCTCACACGTTTTCCTCATTTCCCCCCTCAGTCAATAATTCCCCACCCTCCCAAAGTTAACCACTGTGTGTTTTATCACCATTTATTAAAATTTTCCTTGGGTCTGAATGTTACAGGGCTGGAATCATACCATCCTCTCTTCTCCAGCGTGCTTCTTTCATTCAACCTTATGTCTGTGCAATTCATTCATGTTGCAGTGTGTAGCAGCAGTTCATTCTCTTTTCATTGCTGTATAGTTGTCAATTATATAAACATACTGTTTGTTTGTTTGTTTGTTTGTTTGTTTGAGACAGGGTCTCACTCTGTCTCCCAGGCTGGAGTGCAGTGGCGCAGTCTTGGTTCACTGCAACCTCTGCCTCCTGGATTCAAGCGATCCTCTCACCTCAGCCTCTCCAGAAGCTGGGACTACAGGCTTGCGCCACCATGCCTGGCTAATTTTTGTAATTTTTTAAGAGACAGGGTTTTGTCACATTGCTCAGGCTGGTCTTGAACTCCTGAGCTCAAGTGATGCACCCCCAATGTGCCGGGATTACAGGTGTGAGCCACTGTGTCTGGCCCAATTGTATCAATATACTGTTATTATCCGTTTTGCTGTTGATGGATATTTGGATTGTTTCCAGTTTTCTTTCTTTCTTTTCTTTTTTCTTTTTTTAGACAGGTCTTGTGTGCATAGACTGGAATGTAGTAGTGTGATCATGGCTCACTACAGCTTTAACCTCCTGGGATCAAGCGATCCTCCCCACCTCAGCCTCTGGAGTCACTGGGACCACAGATATGCACTACTGTGCCTGGCTATTTTAAAATTTTTTGTAGAGATGGGGTCTCCCTATGTTGCCCAGGCTGGTCTCAAACTCCTGGGCTCAAGGGAGTCTCCCACCTCAGCTTCCCAAAGTGGTGAGATTACAGGCATGAGCCACAGCACCAACTTTATGTTTTTGTTTTATTCCCACCCTCAAAGGATTGGATGGGAAACACCCTCACAGGCACAACTAGAAATAATATTTAACCAGATATCTTGGCATTCCTGGCCCAGTCAAGTTGACACATAAAATTAACCATCACAGATCCCCTCCAGCTCAGGGCTCAATACATCAGCCTGAGAGAACCCCCATCCATCCTTCTCCCCTCCCTGAATGACCGAGGAGACCATGCCTCTCCAGGAAACCTCTGCCTTAGGAAATCCTACAGATGATTCACAGGAAACGTGACTGTGCTCTCTGGGGCAGGGTCAGTGGGCTGGGTAGGGGTTTCAAAATCAACCCCGATTCAAAAAGCACCTGATTGACAGGGCCACAGGTGCTTGCAGTTTTTCCCTGCATCCCCCGCTCTCTCCCCTAGACGAAGTGGGAACAGGGCCCTTGAAGGGGAGTACACTGCAGAAGGAAAAAGAAGAGAAGGGAGAGGGTTTGAGCACCCCTCTCTGTCCTTGTGTGGTCTGCTGGCACAAACATGCACACTCTCCCTTTTCTCCTCCCTGCAGAGTCCCTGTGTTCTGGGCCTCCACCCTCACTCAGGAGGCTCTGCCTCCCCCAGGGTTTCCCAAAACCACCTCCCAGAACATGCCACATATTTCTGAAGGTCCTTTTGCCAACAAGCATTGTCCTGGGAATATCAGGGTGGTTTCTTACCAGTAAAATCACCCACATAGTGAAACTTTTTTTTGTTTTTTTTTTTTTGAGATGGAGTCTCACTCTGTCACCAGGCTGGAGTGTAGTGGCACGATCTCAGCCAACTGCAACCTCTGCCTCCCGGGTCCAGGTTCAAGTAAGTCTCCTGCCTTAGCCTCCCGAGTAGCTAGGATTATAGGTGCGTGCCACCATGCCCAGCTAATTTTTGTATTTTTAGTAGAGGTGGGGCTTCACCATGTTGGCCAGGCTGGTTTTGAACTCCTTACCTCATGATCTGCTCACCTTGGCCTCCCAAAATACTGGGATTACAGGCATGAGCCACTGCACCTGGCCATGAAACTTTTTTTGTTGTTGTTTGTTTGTTTAATGGAGACTGGGTTTCACCATGTTGCCCAGGCTGGCCTCGAACTCCTAGGCTCAGGTGATCTGCCTGCCTCAGTCTCCCAAAGTGCTGGGATTATAGGCATGAGCCACCATCAACACGGCTCACTGCAGCCTCAATCTCCTGGGCCGAGTTATCTTCCTCCCTGTCTCCTGAGTAGCTGGGACTACAGGTGTGCACCACCACATTCAGCTAATTAAATTTTTTTTTGTAGAGACAGAGTCTCACTATGTTGTCCAGGCCGGTCTTAAACTCCTGGGCTCAAGAAGGTGTAAATCACTACACCTGGCTGTGTTTTTCTTTAGTTTTGTTTTTGTTTTTTGAGACAGCATCTTGCTTTGTCGCCCAGGCTGGAGTGCAGTGGCGCGATTACAGGTCATTGTGTTTTGGTGGTGGGTTTTCTTGATGTCTCCCCCACTGGACCGTCCGGGGCATGGGCTGCCCTGTGAGTGCCTCAGCCCTTGCCCATCACTGCCCATGGGGCTGATACACCTGTGTGCACATACTCAGGTGAAGACAGCCACTGCTCGTAGGTGAGGTAAGACACTGAGCACCTGGGTGGGAAGACTTCTCCCACTCCCACCCTGCCTGCACCAGACCATGAAGAGCTCTCCATAGCATGGGTGCTGACCAGGCCCAGCCTGGGTGACAGAGTGAGACCCTGTCTCAAAAAAAAAGACATAATGAGGTATGATTTTAATTTCTTGGCTGTCCCAGTGTATACAAATGTTGGGAGTATGGATTGCTTCATTTCATTTTAAATAGCATTTTTTTTTCTTTTTTCTTTTTTTTTTTTTTTTTGAGACAGAGTCTTGCTCAGTCGCCCAGGTTGGAGTGCAGTGGTGCAGTCTCTGCTCACTGCAGTCTCTGCCTCCCGTGTTACAAGTGATTCTCATGCCTCAGCCTCCCGTGTAGCTGGGATTACAGGCATGTGCCATCATGCCTGAATAATTTTTGTATTTGTAGTAGAGATAGGGTTTCACCATATTGGCCAGACTGGTCTTGACCTCTTGACCTCCAGTGACCCACCCACCTTGGCCTCCCAAAGTGCTGGGATTACAGACGTGAGCCACTATGCCTGGCCACCCTTTATCTTCTTTTCTTTTTGAGACAGGATCTTGCTCTGTCGCTCAGGCTGGAGTGCGGTGATGCATTCATAGCTAACTGCAACCTTGAACCCCTGTGCTCAAGTCATCCTCCCACCTCAGCCTCTACTACAGGCATGCACCACTATACCCAGCTATTTTTAAATTTTTTGTAGCAATGGGGTCTCGCTATGATACCCAGGCTGCTCTTAAACCCCTGACCTTGTGATCCTCCCATCTTGACCTCTCAAAATGCTGGAATTAGGGGTGTGAGCCACCATACCTGGCCCCCTTCATCTTTTTTCCATTGCTTTGTGCCAACCCAGTTTGTGCACTGGGGCCTTGTGATCCTCTCAAAGCTGATTCAGCCTGCATTCCTTTCCCAGATGGACACGTGTGTGATAAACAGCCCTGCAGTGGGGTGAGGGAAGCCAGGGGCAGTGGGGTCCTGTATGTCCTGCCATCTCCACAAAAGGGCAGTCCTCACCCCAGCCTTGTGCTGATGAGACCAGGCATAGATAGTACTGACAACGCAGGGCGGAAGGGAGCAGCCATTAACGCTAATGAGGCAGGCGGCCTGAAAGCTTTGTACTCTGCAGTGGCTCGCCCACCCAGGGAACAGTTCGTTCTGTTTCCTTGGCTTCCAGGAACCCCAGGCGGAAAGGGGTTTGGGGACAGGAGCAGGAGTGGGGGTCTTGGAAAGACCTAGAGGGAGAAAGGGAGGGGAGGACCAGAAATGCAGTCAGGAGGGCCTGGTATTGGTTAGGTGGGTTTTTCCCTCCCCATTCCCTCCAAAGAAACCCAGGGTCTAGTTCTCACCTACCCCTGCCCAACAGTGGCCATTGGCCCATCACCCTCTCCAATGTCCTTGATCTGAATTCTTAGAAGCACAGGAAACAACATGCCACATAGGAGTTGAGTAAGCATCTCTGGGGCCACAAATTAAATTAAGCTTTCAGGGCCGCCTGCCTTGTTACTGCTAATGGCTCCGGCCTTGCTCGGCTCCTAGGTCCCTGTCCCATGGACATTTGGGGACCCTGGGCACCCTCTCTGGCTCCCAAATTGTAATTAGCTCCTGGAAACCTCACCCCAAATTGGAGATAGGCACCCCTCTTATAGAACAAAAGGCTCAGGTTCAGGGAGTGAGGGTCTGAACTGTGCCCCCACCCTCCAGGAAGGGCCCTTCACAGCCTGGCTGCAGGGATCAGTCACGTGTGGCCCTTTATTAGGCCCTGCCATATAAGCCGAGGGCACGGGGTGGCCAGGAACTCTCTAGGCAAGAATCCCGGAGGCAGAGGTGAGTTCTCAGGTTGGGCAGGGACTCCTCCTCTCTGTAGGGTCTCTATCTGGGCATCTAGAGGGGACTCCAAGGATTAGGAGGGACTAAGTGGTGCGTCTTCCTGCTGAGCCAGGCCATGCTGACTGCAGCACTGCTGAGCTGTGCCCTGCTGCTGGCACTGCCTGCCACGCAAGGAGCCCAGATGGGGCTGGCCCCCCTGGAGGGCATCAGAAGGCCTGACCAGGCCCTGTTCCCAGAGCTCCCAGGTCAGTGTGAGCAAGGGTGGGACTGGGCGGGGCCTGAATACCCTCTGGCCACAAATTGTCTCCCCTGGCATAAACCCTCTTTCTCCCTTCCCAAACCCTCCCATGGGAGGTGGGTGCTTTGTGCTTGGGGGGGTTCCTGCCCTCACATCCTCTGCCCCAGGCCTGGGCCTGCGGGCCCCACTGAAGAAGACAACTGCAGAACTGGCAGAAGAGGATCTGTTGCAGGAGGCTCAGGCCTTGGCAGAGGTAACTGCTCGGGGAAAAGGGTAAGGTGGTGGCCCTTGGGAGGGGGCATTGGGTATTAGCTCCTCTCCCCAGCTCCACCTCTCCCCATGCTCCATTGCCATCCTGCACAGGTTGCGACAGGTAAGGTCCCTGGACCTGTAGTTAGAGGCCTGTGCCCACATTCCTGGTTCCCCACACCCACAGGTACTAGACTCGCAGGACCGCGAGCCCCGCTCCTCACGTCGCTGCGTAAGGCTGCATGAGTCCTGCCTGGGACAGCAGGTGCCTTGCTGTGACCCCTGTGCCACATGCTACTGCCGCTTCTTCAACGCCTTCTGCTACTGCCGCAAGCTGGGTACTGCCATGAACCCCTGCAGCCGCACCTAGCTGGCCAACGTCAGGGTCAGGGCTAGCGTAGGGGCAAGCAAATGCGAATAAAGGATGGGACCAACCCCAAGGCTGTGATTATTTCAAACGTGGCCGTCAAAAGAGGGAGGGTTCATGGAGGGGGTGGGAGTGTCGCCAAGCCAAGAAACCACACATACTCTTATTCCAGGGCCCGGGCTACCCCAACATAGGAGGCACATACACAGGCGCTTTTAGGGGTCCTGGCGCCCCTGGGAAAAGTAGAGAAGAACCGCACTCCAGCTTTCAAAAATCTTGTACAGCAAGTGTGGTTTGGAAAGCAGGACGCAGCATGGCACAGGGGCTATCACTCCTGGCTAATGAATAAGCCTTAGGCTCCAGGGCTTGCTTGCTGCTACTTCCACACAATGCCTGCCCCTCATCCTGTTACCAGAGGGAAGGCGGGGAGTGTGCGTTGTTCAGGTCCTTAGCGTTTTGAACAAAGAATTGAACAAAACCCAGAAAGTAACAAAGGAATGACACACAGGAAGGAAGCAGAAAGCAGGGATTTGTTAAAGCGAGAAAGCACTCCCGCAGGGTGGGAGTGGGCCTGAGCAAGAGGCTCAAGGGGCCCAGTTACAAAGTTTTCTGGGTTTTAAGTACTCCTTTTGCGGTCCCTGTCCGTTACCCCTTATCTGGATGAAGGGTTTGGTCCATGGCTAATTAACCCATTTATGCCTGAGGTTGCAATCTTTTGCATTTTTGCAATTAGACCTTGGCGATTACCTTGAGCAGTAGGATATAAATAACTCCCATATGCTTAGCGTTCCAATAGTGGAACACTAGGCACAAATAAGGCAGAGGAGAATTGGCGCCCTATGCAGATGAAGGGATGGCCCATGCTTGGCCCGCAGCCAATCCAAGGCACTCTCCCTTTCAAATGAGACTTGGTGGATGGGGAAGGTTTGTGGGGACAGTGGCTTTTGATCCTTTGTTACTCGGACATGGGGAGATGGGGCTTTTCTTTTTGGTTTAGCTTTAGGAAGTTCGCCTTAGTTGGCCTCACGTTCCCTGCCCCCAGACCTTGGTGTTTTCCCTTGATTCAGTTTCAGAATTCAGCACGTATTGGCCTCAAGTTCCCCGCCTCTAGACCCTATTCTCCTGCCTCTATCGGACCTCAGTTTCCCTCTGGGGAGGAGGCTAGCCCAGCAGTTTGAAAACTTTGCAAGCTTGAGAAAGGCTGGCTCCTTTCTTTGCCCCGCCCGCCCCTGCAGCGCCAAGTGCAGCAAAACCGGGAAAGGTAGAGGTTCCAGTCAAATCCCTGCGGCCGCGGGCGCCACCACGCGGCCGGCCCCAAAAGTCCTCTTCTTAGTGCGCAGGCGCCATAGGACGGTCCCCAGCCCACGCCTGCGCCGCGCTTCCGCGCAGCCACCCGGAAGCCGGGAGCTGCTCAGAGCCACGCCCCCTTGTGGTCACGTGAGGCGCTTGCGCGTCACCTGACGCGCTTGACAGCCCACTGAAGACGCCGCGTCAGCTGATTTGGGAGTCGCGATTCGTGCCTGCCGGTCCAGGTTCTCTGGTCCCGCCGCTCCCGCAGCAGCCATGTCGTTCTTCCCAGAGCTTTACTTTAACGTGGACAATGGCTACTTGGAGGGACTGGTGCGCGGCCTGAAGGCCGGGGTGCTCAGCCAGGCCGACTACCTCAACCTGGTGCAGTGCGAGACGCTCGAGGGTGAGCCGGGGCCGCGAAAGGCGGGGATAGAGGCTGGCCAGGGCCTGAGGGTTCAGAGGTGTGGGCCGGGAAACAGGAAGCGGGGGGTCTTGAAGGGCCTGAGAGGCTTCTCTGGGAATCCCGGGGCTGATAGCGGACGCGCGGGAGCGAGATCTACCTCTAGCTGTGACTCGGCGCGGGCCCAAACGCAAACAAGGCTTTAAGAACCGCAGTTGTTCGCCTCTGCTTATGCCACCTTTTCTCTCGCTGTGCTCACCCTGCAGTTTGGAAGGAGAAGGTCTTTCGGGGGTAGCTGGTCGGTTTGAGGTGTGGCCATATAGGCCTCTTTACCCTGACGTAGCCCGAGAGCTGTCCCGTGGCAACGCTTAGGAAAGCTAGGCGGAAAAGCCCCCCACTTCTTCCCCCTCCCCCCCACCAAGACACTAAGGTCTTTGGGATCATTGTGTCTTCGCGTTGTCCTGCGGGGTGAGCCTTCCTGGGGAATTGCTGAGCCAGTTTAGCGAGGGTTTTCTCCCAACTCTGAACCGCTGGCTGGGCAGTATCTCCTGAAGGCAATGTTTGAAAGAACAAGGGTGGCCCTTGCAGATCTGGAAGTTCATATACAAGTATTTGGCCAATTAATCCCACCCCCTCAGCGAGGGGGATGCCTGTTGGGACAGGGTTTCTGAGCACAAGAGTGATGAGAAACCTGGCCGGGCGCGGTGGCTCACGCCTGTAATCCCAGCACTTTGGGAGGCCGAGACGGGCGGATCACGAGGTCAGGAGATCGAGACCATCCTGGCTAACACGGTGAAACCCCGTCTCTACTAAAAAATACAAAAAACTAGCCGGGCGAGGTGGCGGGCGCCTATAGTCCCAGCTACTCGGGAGGCTGAGGCAGGAGAATGGCGTGAACCCGGGAGGCGGAGCTTGCAGTGAGCTGAGATCCGGCCACCGCACTCCAGCCTGGGTGACAGAGCGAGACTCCGTCTCAAAAAAAAAAAAAAAAAAAAAGAGTGATGAGAAACCCAGTTCCCCTTTCTTCTCAGCACACAGCTCCAGAGTGGCGTTGTATTCTGAGGCACAGCTCCAACAGATGTACTGAGTTAGAGATGCCACTAATTCCAGTCTTTGCCAACCACTCCCGCTCCAGGTGGTAGGGAAGGGAAGGGTGGCCGGGATGTGAGGGGATCCCTGATCCTCAAGTGGTACTCGAGCAGAGGTACTGGTAGCCTCGTGATTGGTAGCTGCGTAGGGGGAGGATGGCCTGATGATTCACCCACTGGAGAACATTTTCTCATCAGAAACTTCTTGAGGTTAAAAGTGAGCTCAAAGAAAAAAATAGTTTATTGTTTACCTTGCAAACTAGACCAGTAAAGTGAAAATAAATACCTTTAAAATAGAAAACTTACCGTTAAAATACAGTAATTGTAGGTGTTATGATTTTAATGTAAATCTGCAGTACAGGCCGGGCGCGATGGCTTACGCCTGTAATCCCAGCATTTTGGGAGGCCAAGGCGGGTGGATCATGAGGGCAGGAGTTCGAGACCAGCCTGACCAAAAGGGTGAAACCCTGTCTGTACTCAAGATACAAAAAATTAGCTGGGCGTGGTGGCAGGCGCCTGTAATCCTAGCTACTCGAATTGCTTGAACCCGGGAGGCGGAGGTTGCAGTGAGCCAAGACTGCACCACTGCACTCCAGCCTGGGCAACAGAGCAAGACCCCATCTGAAAAAAAAAATCGACAATAATTGTAAATATACAGCTGAGCGCGGTGGCTCACGCCGGTAATCCTAGTACTTTGGGAGGCCGAGGCGGGCGGATCACGAGGTCAGGAGATTGAAACCATCTGTGGATCACGAGGTCAGGAGATCAAGACCATCCTGACTAACATGGTGAAACCCCGTCTCTACTAAAAAAAAAAAAAAATACAAAAAAATGAGCTGGGCGTGGTGGTGGGCGCCTGTAGTCCCAGCTACTTAGGAGGCTGAGGCAGGAGAATGGCGTGAACCCGGGAAGCAGAGCTTGAGGTGAGCCAAGATCGCTCCACTGCACTCCAGCCTAGGCAACAGAGTGAGACTCCGTCTCAAAAAAAAAATAATAATAATAATAATTGTAGGTTTTATGATGTTAATGTACATATGCAAGAAAAGTTGTTTACCTTACTTATGTGAGTAGAGGTGGGGAAGGAGAGCACTTTAGGATGCTGGGTTGTAGGCCTCCGCCAGCAACCGATTGACCTTACTGTGGGAAAAAGGGGAGAAATAGAGGTAGGCTGCCTGGGACAAGGCCTAGCACACAGTTGGAGCTTAATATGAGTTTTGTGGACTTCCTGGGACTTGTTGAAGGTCTTTATTTGCCTAAATCTAAGGTGAACATCGTTGATCATCAATAGACATTCAGTTGGTTGTTTCTCTTCTTGACTTTCCTCACTCCTGCTGCTGTCCACTCTCCTGTAACAGAGCTTCTGGGGGCACAGGGTTTTTGCCATCTTCCCAGGGGACCCTCTATCATCCCCCATAAACCTGTTAGGCCATTCTTTCTACACACTTTTCCTGTAACACTGTTCAACATAGGCACCCACCGCCCACCCCCTGCCTCACCTCTTGTAGAAAACCATCCATATCTTTTTTTTTTTTTTTTTTTTTTTGAGACGGAGTCTCGCTCTGTCACCCAAGGTAGAGTGCAGTGTCGCAATCTCGGCTCACTGCAAGCTCCGCCTCCCAGGTTCATGCCATTCTTCTGCCTCAGCCTCCTGAGTAGCTAGGACTACAGGTGCCCGCCACCACTCCTGGCTAATTTTTTGTATTTTTAGTAGAGACAGGATTTCACTGTGTTAGCCAGGATGGTCTCGCTCTCTTGACTTCATGATCTGCCCGCCTCAGTCTCCCAGAGTGCTGGGATTAAAAGCGTGAGCCACTGTGCCCAGCCCACCATCCGTATCTTTAGTGTGGCATTCAGGGATCCTTTGCTCTTTCACACACATTTCTTTCTTTTCTTTTCTTTTTTTTTTTTGAGACAGAGTCTAGCCCTGTCACCCAGGCTGGAGTGCAGTGGCACGATCTCCGCTCACGGCAATCACCACCTCACCAGTTCAAGCCGTTCTCATGCCTCAGCCTCACAAGTAGCTGGGATTACAGGCATGTGCCACCATGCCCGGCTAATTTTTGTGTTTTTAGTAGAGAGGATTTTGCCATATTGGCAAGGCTGGTCTCGAACTCCTGACCTGAAGTGATCCACCCACCTTGGCCTCCCAAAGTACTGGGATTGCAGGTGTGAGCCACCACGCTTGGCCATTCACACACATTTCTTTTGGGTTTTTTTTTTTTTTTTTTTGAGACAGAGTCTTGCTGTGTTGCCCAGGCTGGAGTGCAGTGGCGCGATCTCCGCTCACTGCAAGCT